AATGTTCGAAAATGAGATATTATAACAGCCTATAACTTGAGAAGTACCGCTCCGATCTCGATGAAATGTTCACACAATGTTACTACTATGCAAATGACGCAAAAAAGCTTTGTAGTTTTTGAAAATCGGTCCAGTGACTACAGAGGAAAAGGCCGAAAACGAAAAAGAATGAAAATTGCTCAAACTTATACATAGCCGCGGAGACGTCCCAGAAATTTGAAATTGTTGCAATGTTGGATCGTTCAGGAACGGTTTTGTTAAGGTTTCTACAGACACAACTGCAAGCTTGTCCAGCATGCTTGTTCAATGTTTTTGTACAAGCTCGCTTGAATGTCTGTAGGGAAATGTGGTGCAAGCTTTGTACTTGTACAAGCAGCTTGAGGATTGAATTGATTTTAATTATGCATGCTTGAATTAGGCGCGCTTGCGCAAGAAAAACAGTACGTGTGTACCCAAGATTTTCAAGCATGCACAAGTTGGGGTCCGTTGATGATCGTATCCTGCTTTTGAATCAAAGGTGATACAAGAGACAAGGTTTTAATACATCTCTTCATCCATTCTAAGATAATTGTGCCAGTCACGTGGATATATCTTCAGCTCACTTAGTAAGTAAATGTGAGAATAGGTTTTCCCTTTTATCAACCATTTTTTACACCACACCGCACGGTTTTTATTCGGGATTTTCTTTTCTTCACAAGAACAAAAGCGGCCAAAGCGAGCGCGTCGTCGTCCGAGCTCGAAATATTTTATTAAACTACCTCTATTTTTATCAAGCATGCTTGTACGTCTGGTGCCAAAGGCAAATTGTGCTTTCTTGTACAAAAAGATTGAATAAGCATGATGGACAAGCTTGCAGTTGTGTCTGTAGCGACCTTTACAGTGAGCTCAGTACATGCATTGAAGGGGGACCGAAAGGAACTGACCAGACAGTCGATTTTGGAATCGTTTTTGTAAATAGAAAGTGACAGATAGCCGTTTCGTCACTACTCATCGCAATGAAAGCTAGACAATATCAATTAATTATCTTTAAATAAAAAATAAACAGGCTATCAGAGCACGCTACAGTTTGGTTGGAGGTTAGATAAAATCATCTGACAACAACTCTACTGAGCAGATAAGTCCCTTTCAATGCAGATACTAAGTTCACTGTAACAAAACCGTTCCGGAACGATCCTACGATACCGAATACTGTTTGAGCAGTTTTTCCTATATTCCGAAAATCTGGCAACACTGATTCATCTCCTTTCTATTGTTTTTTAGGATGCCAATTACGAATGTTTGTTGGTGGAGTTCGTAATTTTTTCAGGGAAATACTGTCTCAACCCATGTACGTTTACTTATAAATCAGTTAAACATACAAATTTCACAGAACAGTTTGCAAAATGGTTGGAATAGAGCTCAAACTTAATTTTTCTTAGTGCGATGAATTGCCCGGGAGGCGCCATTTTGTCTATAGGTCTCGGGATTAATGTCGGCTGAACTATATCGCATATTGCAAATATTTCATTTCTCATTTTAAAATGGTTTTGATTAGGATATAACTAGTACGAAAATGTCACTTTTTCTTTGAGGAAGCCTCTGCTTGCTATTTTATAGAACTTCAAAGTTGCATTTTGGGTGATAATACTTTGGTATGGAATACTGCTTTTATAAACTAGTTTTTTCTTGTTTACACAAAAAAATAATGATCTAATTATATGAGAATTTTTCTGAAAAGGTAGCTGTTGCCAGTTACTAAATAATGAAAACAACAACCAAGATAAAAATTTCTGTAAAAAAAGAGATCATTATACAAACTATAATGTTGGACGATGATATTTTGGGTGGACCTGGCAACGTGGTCCAAATCGACGAATCGAAGTTTGGTAAGTACAATTTAACCGAGGTCGCAACGTCAAAGGCCACTGGGTAGTAGGAATGATTGAAAAATCGGGAAGGGAAAATGTCAGGACGGTGGTGTCAGAGACGAATGCCGGAGCCGCTTATCTCCATAATCCAACGATATGACCGTCCTGGATCTGGATATCTTTGGAGTAGGCATTCTCGTGTTCGCGGAATTGATTTTTCGCGTTTTTATTAGAAGCAATTTGAGCTGGATGTAAGATGTAAATGCATCTAATAAAAAGGCAAAAATCGCCTTTTTCGAGGTGAATTCCTAATTACGTTAATTATTATTATTATTGATAACGTGGTGCTCCTTGGAAACACCATATAATGGCCAAACGATCTATTAGTAACCATTATTTGAGTATTTTTATATGCAGTGACCGCTGGGACCTTTTGAATTTTTATGTCTCGCTTCGCTGGTGAATTTTCCACTGTTTATGCACATACTATTCAAAATATTGGATTCAGTAAATATTGGAATAACTTCTTATAGAACAAGCCATTTACAATTAAGACTTGCAAATAACCTCATTTATTTATTACGTATTTCTCCCAAAAAAGCACAATTTGGCAACAATGGACAGCATGTCTAATCTGTCGAGAAATTAACGTTATAAAATAGCCACGAGAACTGTTTCTACTTTCAAGTATTTCTTATAAACGCAAAAACTTTGATCTCATTGAAAATACGCGAAAAATATGGTTGACGAATTTCAACAATTGGCAAGTGTGTCTACTACATGAACTTTTTAATCTCGGACGTTCGACGCATGGTGGTGCCAACGTCTATTATCGGTGTCAGTGTCGCGCTTGAACCTTTACAACTGAAGGAAAATTTATACAAAATAAACGATGAAACAATTTTTTCGAGCGCCGAAAAATAATTTCAGGTCTGTCTTCAGCGATCAAGACTTAAGTGTGTCAGAAGCCTCAAAAATGTCGAAAAAGGAAGTTTGACCGTTTCTTGTTTGTTTTCTGACGATAGCTCCACTGCCACTGTACCGATTTTCAAAAACTGCAGAGCTTTTTCATTTTCATAGTAGTAACCTACGGTCAAAATTTCATCAAAATCGTGATAGTACATTCAGAGTAATCATTTCTTTAATCTTTTTCGTTAGTTATGAAATGCAAGTCAATATATTTCTCAACCAGTCTTGCAGTGCAACAGGACATTATAATGAAACATCTGTAAGCACTTGATAATTTATAATTTCCTAAAATACATATCCTTAGGCCAGCCATAACTCACCTGCGAAACGTACAAAATATTAGCAATATGAAAACGGTGCTGTTATGACAGCCTATGTTTTGTATGTATGCTAATTTAATTAATTCTTCTCAAAAGTTTGTTACGGAACATACATTATTATGAATAGGTAGGTATACAAATCAAAATACTTCCCACATACCACTACTTCACCACAATCACAGCAAACAAATAAATAATGTTTGTCGCCGCTACTGGTTCTGACCTAAAGCCATAAACACATGACATATGGTGTAGGAGCGTAACGAACCATGCTTCCAACGTTGTAACGTCCATTGACGCTGGTCAAATTTACCGACAAGAGCCCGAACGTGCCATGTGGCGAACGTTGTAAGGCATTCGCCACATCGTGTGGGAGCGGTTTTACACCTCCCTCTCTCGGCCCAAGGACCTGGCGACAGTGGCAACACCGATTTCAAGAAGACATGCATATCCTTCTCTGCTTCCTATTGTTTTAATTATAAATTAATGTTGATTATTGGTGAAGTTCCCGAGTTTTTTCTGTGGATTACTGGGTCAATCCCATGTAAGTTTATTTATGTTTCAGTTAGACACAGTAATATTACAGGAAACTTTGCAAAATGGCTCGCTCAAAATTATTATTGTTTTAGTAGAATGAACTGCACGGGAGACGCCATTGTGTCCTTAGTTATAAGAATTATTTTCGGTTTGATAAAGCTTTATTTCGGATTCGACCAACTTCAAATAGTCGCTAGAACTCACGAAATAAAATGGGAAAATATCTTGAAAGTTACCCGACCTGTTTTAAACTTTAAGTTTCAGTGTTAAACATTTGTCGGGAATGATGCCCTCGTTTAGGGGCCCTGCCCCGTACAAGTTTTACAAGTAAGTATGTATTTACAACTAAGGCTAGGAACTTGGTACTAGTCAGCCTCTTCACGTTTTGATTTATTCCGGGTTCACATCAATAAGTGCTTAACTAGATTTAATACAAGATACCAGGGGCGTATCCAGATAATTTTTCGTTTAGATATATACAGGGTGTCCCGAAAAAAGTGTGCAATATTCTACCAGCGGTTTCTAGAGCTTAAAATAGGAAGAAAAGTTTATATAAACATAGGCCGACAAACGTCCTCTAAGGGCGCGATGGTCTTTTTGAGGGGCTCGCCCGAAGATGGTTTTTCCTTAATATTTCCGAAACGTGTTGAGATAAAGACATAAAATTTGGTATTCTAACCTAGTTTTTTATGCTGGATTTAAAAATATGAACAATTTTAGACAGTTTTGTTTGGAATCGTATGTAACAGGGACGGACTTAGGTTATTTTAGCCCCAAAATTTTTGTGTGATTCTATTTTTTTAATTCAATTTTAGAATTTGAAAATTTGGGGTTTTTTTACATGAAAAAGATGCTCTTATTGAATATCGATAAATTGTGCTATTTTTGAATAAAATCAAATTAAAGAATTTGTCACATGATAGGAAATGTACTGCGAATTTAAATGAATTGTTGAATAATTAGCCATGGCAACGAAAAAACTAATTTAATAATTGGTAAATATTACATAAATACATATTTCTATTGCAACATAGTAACATTTAGGCAATAACAAAAGAAATAATTTTTTTCTACGAACGAAACTGAAATTTGTTTAAAAAAGAAGACATACAGTTGGATATACTTAAAACTAGCTTTACAATAAGTGTTCAAATAAATTCCCATTTTTTTCCACTTGGCCAACTGTAATGGGAACAAAAACTGTAATATTTCAAACATTTTTACAAATTACTTTTTTACAGCTTACAATACTTTTTTTATTAAAAAATATCTTTCAATATTTTGCACTATTCTGCATATCAAAGAACTATGATTGCTTAAAAACCTTATGTCAAAACTAATGTAGAATATTATTTTTGGAAGATCTAAATTTATTGTTGCTTTTACAGATATGCATTCGCGACGAGAAAAGCACGAAATATAGCAAACTCCAATGACAAGAGAATCAGGGACTTCCAAGGACAGAGCATAGGGTAGCACCAACTAAAGGGGCAAAGGGACATCCAGCCACGCATGTACAACTTTTTTTCATAATAACCCGCATCTCAACATCGGTTTTCTTGTGTCTTGTTGATAACCATTTTAGAGTCAAATTAGACGCAGCGAAAACCTTGAACTCATACGAAACATTTTCTTTTTCTTTCCCATTATCAAGGATGCCCCTTGACTTGAATCAAGAACTTGCCGGGCACATTTGTTCAAACAATTTTTTTAGCAAATTACAAAAAATGTTTTCGCTCTGGATACCCCTATTAATCACAAAATAACAATTGCTTTTAAATAAACTCGCCTCAGAATACACTCTCCAGCATCTTGAAGGGGCGGGATTGGACTGCAAATTAGATAACCTCATAATTAATGAGAGCATTTTGAAGCATCAAAAACGTCTTTTCAGAAATTCGCTAATAATTTGAGAACGGTTAAGTTGAGAAAAAAATTACTGTTGTCCAGAGATATTCAAAAAACATAAAAGTCTTGTCCTATGAGAAAAACTATTTTTTGTAAGTCGTTAAAAAAATGTTTTAAGCACGTTTGCATCGGGTTACCGCTCGCAAAAGCTTGATTGATAGTAAGGGGCATTCAACAAAAGTGATACAAAACATCGAGTTGATAATTTTTCAGACGAATAAAAGGTTTTCGCTCGTCTAAGGCATCTTTATATTGCGAGTGCGCCTTATTTGCCTTGATAGCCCTGGCAGTGGCAGCAAACTTGTTCAAATATCTTTCTCAAAGGCGAGGGCGGCCTTATTCAATCTGAGGACCCCTTATCACCTGGCATAGTTAACCTCATGGCCTCCATATTTCGCTACTTCTCTTAAATGACGCACAAGCCTACTTATTTTAATAATGTTTTTTGAAAACACATTTCACATCAACTGTCAATATCTGTTTTTCCAAATTTGATTTTTTTCAAGAACTTTTTATTATTCTTGAAAAAAAAGTTTGGAAAAGTAAGTTATCACTCATTAACCTGATGCTTGAGAAATTTAGAGAAATAAGAAAGCCTTAAATTGAGGTGCTACTTAAATGCAAGGTAATAAGGCGCCCTCTAATTGAAAAGGGTCGCCTCTTTCCTCAAAGAAGATATTTGACAACTAATCTGTCAATCCCAAGCATCGAGGCTGTCAGGGCAAATATAAATCATCCTCAAAATAGAGCCCTGAGTAAAGGAATAACTACGTACAAAGTATGTCTGAAAAGTTCTCGAACTAAATTCATAAAAAATACAAATTGAAAGATAAACGAATTTATCCACATCATCCTTCTACATAAGAACCTTCTCTACTAATATACTCGTTACAGCGTCGGTAGAGTGCGTCGAACGCTCGGAGAATTCATTTTATGAGATCGCTTTCAGCTCCTCGGTGCAAACCTTCTGGATAACCGAAATGACATCTTTGAATCAAAAAATGCGATCAACATTGATTTCACCTTCGACTTCTGTTGCCTGACTTCCGATAGCCTTTGCGCAAGTGGACTGAAACAAGCAGCGGATTGACATTTTGTTTTAGGCTCGTACATGAAAAACCATCCTTCGTCGGCCGTTACAATTGTTTTCAAAACATTTTTTAAGACGAATGCAAAACTTTATTGCACTTCTTGGTTCCATGTCGCGCATTTGCACAAGGTCACATGGACACAGTTTGCACGGCTGAATATAACTCGAGACTGGAATGACCAAACGCGGTGAAATTTGGCACACACACACTTCAGACAACGCGCTACACACTTTTCAGACATACTGTGTATATGCACTCGACCATTAACAGCTGTTTTTCTTTGGGATTCTTGATAAGCATTTTATGCGCTGTCAAATGCTAACAACATTTTGGTAACATTCTCATCCACGCATAGTTTGCTTAAAAATCACCCTTATTATATATATTTTTAACACTGGATTTTTGGTTTGCTGATAAGCTTTTGTAGCCGTATACATAGTTGTTACTTTACTTGAGATTTCCTTATTGTGAAGACGACTTATCGGGGGTCCACTGTAATATTCAAAAACTGAACCAAGATTGCTCCTTATATTTCCCACGACCCACGACTACTGGCGAGGAAGTATTACAAATGAGAAAATGTTCGAAAATGAGATATTATAACAGCCTATAACTTGAGAAGTACCGCTCCGATCTCGATGAAATGTTCACACAATGTTACTACTATGCAAATGACGCAAAAAAGCTTTGTAGTTTTTGAAAATCGGTCCAGTGACTACAGAGGAAAAGGCCGAAAACGAAAAAGAATGAAAATTGCTCAAACTTATACATAGCCGCGGAGACGTCCCAGAAATTTGAAATTGTTGCAATGTTGGATCGTTCAGGAACGGTTTTGTTAAGGTTTCTACAGACACAACTGCAAGCTTGTCCAGCATGCTTGTTCAATGTTTTTGTACAAGCTCGCTTGAATGTCTGTAGGGAAATGTGGTGCAAGCTTTGTACTTGTACAAGCAGCTTGAGGATTGAATTGATTTTAATTATGCATGCTTGAATTAGGCGCGCTTGCGCAAGAAAAACAGTACGTGTGTACCCAAGATTTTCAAGCATGCACAAGTTGGGGTCCGTTGATGATCGTATCCTGCTTTTGAATCAAAGGTGATACAAGAGACAAGGTTTTAATACATCTCTTCATCCATTCTAAGATAATTGTGCCAGTCACGTGGATATATTTTCAGCTCACTTAGTAAGTAAATGTGAGAATAGGTTTTCCCTTTTATCAACCATTTTTTACACCACACCGCACGGTTTTTATTCGGGATTTTCTTTTCTTCACAAGAACAAAAGCGGCCAAAGCGAGCGCGTCGTCGTCCGAGCTCGAAATATTTTATTAAACTACCTCTATTTTTATCAAGCATGCTTGTACGTCTGGTGCCAAAGGCAAATTGTGCTTTCTTGTACAAAAAGATTGAATAAGCATGATGGACAAGCTTGCAGTTGTGTCTGTAGCGACCTTTACAGTGAGCTCAGTACATGCATTGAAGGGGGACCGAAAGGAACTGACCAGACAGTCGATTTTGGAATCGTTTTTGTAAATAGAAAGTGACAGATAGCCGTTTCGTCACTACTCATCGCAATGAAAGCTAGACAATATCAATTAATTATCTTTAAATAAAAAATAAACAGGCTATCAGAGCACGCTACAGTTTGGTTGGAGGTTAGATAAAATCATCTGACAACAACTCTACTGAGCAGATAAGTCCCTTTCAATGCAGATACTAAGTTCACTGTAACAAAACCGTTCCGGAACGATCCTACGATACCGAATACTGTTTGAGCAGTTTTTCCTATATTCCGAAAATCTGGCAACACTGATTCATCTCCTTTCTATTGTTTTTTAGGATGCCAATTACGAATGTTTGTTGGTGGAGTTCGTAATTTTTTCAGGGAAATACTGTCTCAACCCATGTACGTTTACTTATAAATCAGTTAAACATACAAATTTCACAGAACAGTTTGCAAAATGGTTGGAATAGAGCTCAAACTTAATTTTTCTTAGTGCGATGAATTGCCCGGGAGGCGCCATTTTGTCTATAGGTCTCGGGATTAATGTCGGCTGAACTATATCGCATATTGCAAATATTTCATTTCTCATTTTAAAATGGTTTTGATTAGGATATAACTAGTACGAAAATGTCACTTTTTCTTTGAGGAAGCCTCTGCTTGCTATTTTATAGAACTTCAAAGTTGCATTTTGGGTGATAATACTTTGGTATGGAATACTGCTTTTATAAACTAGTTTTTTCTTGTTTACACAAAAAAATAATGATCTAATTATATGAGAATTTTTCTGAAAAGGTAGCTGTTGCCAGTTACTAAATAATGAAAACAACAACCAAGATAAAAATTTCTGTAAAAAAAGAGATCATTATACAAACTATAATGTTGGACGATGATATTTTGGGTGGACCTGGCAACGTGGTCCAAATCGACGAATCGAAGTTTGGTAAGTACAATTTAACCGAGGTCGCAACGTCAAAGGCCACTGGGTAGTAGGAATGATTGAAAAATCGGGAAGGGAAAATGTCAGGACGGTGGTGTCAGAGACGAATGCCGGAGCCGCTTATCTCCATAATCCAACGATATGACCGTCCTGGATCTGGATATCTTTGGAGTAGGCATTCTCGTGTTCGCGGAATTGATTTTTCGCGTTTTTATTAGAAGCAATTTGAGCTGGATGTAAGATGTAAATGCATCTAATAAAAAGGCAAAAATCGCCTTTTTCGAGGTGAATTCCTAATTACGTTAATTATTATTATTATTGATAACGTGGTGCTCCTTGGAAACACCATATAATGGCCAAACGATCTATTAGTAACCATTATTTGAGTATTTTTATATGCAGTGACCGCTGGGACCTTTTGAATTTTTATGTCTCGCTTCGCTGGTGAATTTTCCACTGTTTATGCACATACTATTCAAAATATTGGATTCAGTAAATATTGGAATAACTTCTTATAGAACAAGCCATTTACAATTAAGACTTGCAAATAACCTCATTTATTTATTACGTATTTCTCCCAAAAAAGCACAATTTGGCAACAATGGACAGCATGTCTAATCTGTCGAGAAATTAACGTTATAAAATAGCCACGAGAACTGTTTCTACTTTCAAGTATTTCTTATAAACGCAAAAACTTTGATCTCATTGAAAATACGCGAAAAATATGGTTGACGAATTTCAACAATTGGCAAGTGTGTCTACTACATGAACTTTTTAATCTCGGACGTTCGACGCATGGTGGTGCCAACGTCTATTATCGGTGTCAGTGTCGCGCTTGAACCTTTACAACTGAAGGAAAATTTATACAAAATAAACGATGAAACAATTTTTTCGAGCGCCGAAAAATAATTTCAGGTCTGTCTTCAGCGATCAAGACTTAAGTGTGTCAGAAGCCTCAAAAATGTCGAAAAAGGAAGTTTGACCGTTTCTTGTTTGTTTTCTGACGATAGCTCCACTGCCACTGTACCGATTTTCAAAAACTGCAGAGCTTTTTCATTTTCATAGTAGTAACCTACGGTCAAAATTTCATCAAAATCGTGATAGTACATTCAGAGTAATCATTTCTTTAATCTTTTTCGTTAGTTATGAAATGCAAGTCAATATATTTCTCAACCAGTCTTGCAGTGCAACAGGACATTATAATGAAACATCTGTAAGCACTTGATAATTTATAATTTCCTAAAATACATATCCTTAGGCCAGCCATAACTCACCTGCGAAACGTACAAAATATTAGCAATATGAAAACGGTGCTGTTATGACAGCCTATGTTTTGTATGTATGCTAATTTAATTAATTCTTCTCAAAAGTTTGTTACGGAACATACATTATTATGAATAGGTAGGTATACAAATCAAAATACTTCCCACATACCACTACTTCACCACAATCACAGCAAACAAATAAATAATGTTTGTCGCCGCTACTGGTTCTGACCTAAAGCCATAAACACATGACATATGGTGTAGGAGCGTAACGAACCATGCTTCCAACGTTGTAACGTCCATTGACGCTGGTCAAATTTACCGACAAGAGCCCGAACGTGCCATGTGGCGAACGTTGTAAGGCATTCGCCACATCGTGTGGGAGCGGTTTTACACCTCCCTCTCTCGGCCCAAGGACCTGGCGACAGTGGCAACACCGATTTCAAGAAGACATGCATATCCTTCTCTGCTTCCTATTGTTTTAATTATAAATTAATGTTGATTATTGGTGAAGTTCCCGAGTTTTTTCTGTGGATTACTGGGTCAATCCCATGTAAGTTTATTTATGTTTCAGTTAGACACAGTAATATTACAGGAAACTTTGCAAAATGGCTCGCTCAAAATTATTATTGTTTTAGTAGAATGAACTGCACGGGAGACGCCATTGTGTCCTTAGTTATAAGAATTATTTTCGGTTTGATAAAGCTTTATTTCGGATTCGACCAACTTCAAATAGTCGCTAGAACTCACGAAATAAAATGGGAAAATATCTTGAAAGTTACCCGACCTGTTTTAAACTTTAAGTTTCAGTGTTAAACATTTGTCGGGAATGATGCCCTCGTTTAGGGGCCCTGCCCCGTACAAGTTTTACAAGTAAGTATGTATTTACAACTAAGGCTAGGAACTTGGTACTAGTCAGCCTCTTCACGTTTTGATTTATTCCGGGTTCACATCAATAAGTGCTTAACTAGATTTAATACAAGATACCAGGGGCGTATCCAGATAATTTTTCGTTTAGATATATACAGGGTGTCCCGAAAAAAGTGTGCAATATTCTACCAGCGGTTTCTAGAGCTTAAAATAGGAAGAAAAGTTTATATAAACATAGGCCGACAAACGTCCTCTAAGGGCGCGATGGTCTTTTTGAGGGGCTCGCCCGAAGATGGTTTTTCCTTAATATTTCCGAAACGTGTTGAGATAAAGACATAAAATTTGGTATTCTAACCTAGTTTTTTATGCTGGATTTAAAAATATGAACAATTTTAGACAGTTTTGTTTGGAATCGTATGTAACAGGGACGGACTTAGGTTATTTTAGCCCCAAAATTTTTGTGTGATTCTATTTTTTTAATTCAATTTTAGAATTTGAAAATTTGGGGTTTTTTTACATGAAAAAGATGCTCTTATTGAATATCGATAAATTGTGCTATTTTTGAATAAAATCAAATTAAAGAATTTGTCACATGATAGGAAATGTACTGCGAATTTAAATGAATTGTTGAATAATTAGCCATGGCAACGAAAAAACTAATTTAATAATTGGTAAATATTACATAAATACATATTTCTATTGCAACATAGTAACATTTAGGCAATAACAAAAGAAATAATTTTTTTCTACGAACGAAACTGAAATTTGTTTAAAAAAGAAGACATACAGTTGGATATACTTAAAACTAGCTTTACAATAAGTGTTCAAATAAATTCCCATTTTTTTCCACTTGGCCAACTGTAATGGGAACAAAAACTGTAATATTTCAAACATTTTTACAAATTACTTTTTTACAGCTTACAATACTTTTTTTATTAAAAAATATCTTTCAATATTTTGCACTATTCTGCATATCAAAGAACTATGATTGCTTAAAAACCTTATGTCAAAACTAATGTAGAATATTATTTTTGGAAGATCTAAATTTATTGTTGCTTTTACAGATATGCATTCGCGACGAGAAAAGCACGAAATATAGCAAACTCCAATGACAAGAGAATCAGGGACTTCCAAGGACAGAGCATAGGGTAGCACCAACTAAAGGGGCAAAGGGACATCCAGCCACGCATGTACAACTTTTTTTCATAATAACCCGCATCTCAACATCGGTTTTCTTGTGTCTTGTTGATAACCATTTTAGAGTCAAATTAGACGCAGCGAAAACCTTGAACTCGTACGAAACATTTTCTTTTTCTTTCCCATTATCAAGGATGCCCCTTGACTTGAATCAAGAACTTGCCGGGCACATTTGTTCAAACAATTTTTTTAGCAAATTACAAAAAATGTTTTCGCTCTGGATACCCCTATTAATCACAAAATAACAATTGCTTTTAAATAAACTCGCCTCAGAATACACTCTCCAGCATCTTGAAGGGGCGGGATTGGACTGCAAATTAGATAACCTCATAATTAATGAGAGCATTTTGAAGCATCAAAAACGTCTTTTCAGAAATTCGCTAATAATTTGAGAACGGTTAAGTTGAGAAAAAAATTACTGTTGTCCAGAGATATTCAAAAAACATAAAAGTCTTGTCCTATGAGAAAAACTATTTTTTGTAAGTCGTTAAAAAAATGTTTTAAGCACGTTTGCATCGGGTTACCGCTCGCAAAAGCTTGATTGATAGTAAGGGGCATTCAACAAAAGTGATACAAAACATCGAGTTGATAATTTTTCAGACGAATAAAAGGTTTTCGCTCGTCTAAGGCATCTTTATATTGCGAGTGCGCCTTATTTGCCTTGATAGCCCTGGCAGTGGCAGCAAACTTGTTCAAATATCTTTCTCAAAGGCGAGGGCGGCCTTATTCAATCTGAGGACCCCTTATCACCTGGCATAGTTAACCTCATGGCCTCCATATTTCGCTACTTCTCTTAAATGACGCACAAGCCTACTTATTTTAATAATGTTTTTTGAAAACACATTTCACATCAACTGTCAATATCTGTTTTTCCAAATTTGATTTTTTTCAAGAACTTTTTATTATTCTTGAAAAAAAAGTTTGGAAAAGTAAGTTATCACTCATTAACCTGATGCTTGAGAAATTTAGAGAAATAAGAAAGCCTTAAATTGAGGTGCTACTTAAATGCAAGGTAATAAGGCGCCCTCTAATTGAAAAGGGTCGCCTCTTTCCTCAAAGAAGATATTTGACAACTAATCTGTCAATCCCAAGCATCGAGGCTGTCAGGGCAAATATAAATCATCCTCAAAATAGAGCCCTGAGTAAAGGAATAACTACGTACAAAGTATGTCTGAAAAGTTCTCGAACTAAATTCATAAAAAATACAAATTGAAAGATAAACGAATTTATCCACATCATCCTTCTACATAAGAACCTTCTCTACTAATATACTCGTTACAGCGTCGGTAGAGTGCGTCGAACGCTCGGAGAATTCATTTTATGAGATCGCTTTCAGCTCCTCGGTGCAAACCTTCTGGATAACCGAAATGACATCTTTGAATCAAAAAATGCGATCAACATTGATTTCACCTTCGACTTCTGTTGCCTGACTTCCGATAGCCTTTGCGCAAGTGGACTGAAACAAGCAGCGGATTGACATTTTGTTTTAGGCTCGTACATGAAAAACCATCCTTCGTCGGCCGTTACAATTGTTTTCAAAACATTTTTTAAGACGAATGCAAAACTTTATTGCACTTCTTGGTTCCATGTCGCGCATTTGCACAAGGTCACATGGACACAGTTTGCACGGCTGAATATAACTCGAGACTGGAATGACCAAACGCGGTGAAATTTGGCACACACACACTTCAGACAACGCGCTACACACTTTTCAGACATACTGTGTATATGCACTCGACCATTAACAGCTGTTTTTCTTTGGGATTCTTGATAAGCATTTTATGCGCTGTCAAATGCTAACAACATTTTGGTAACATTCTCATCCACGCATAGTTTGCTTAAAAATCACCCTTATTATATATATTTTTAACACTGGATTTTTGGTTTGCTGATAAGCTTTTGTAGCCGTATACATAGTTGTTACTTTACTTGAGATTTCCTTATTGTGAAGACGACTTATTTGCCTTGACGGTGTTGACACGTCTGAGTGACATTAGAGTTGTCAAATAGTGTTCATTCAAGAACGCAAAATTTGAGACTACCTTGCGTATAGTAATATTTCCACTTCAAAGCTTCCTGAATTCACCTTCCTTGCACAGTTCTACTCATGTTGGTTACTACGTGTATAGAAAGCATACTTCATCCACCTTAATTGCTTTTCCAAGTTTATTTTTTCACGAAGAAACGATTTATTCTTAAAAAAATAGAATTTGAAAGAGCACTTTATGAAATATTAATTTGACGCTTGATGTAGTTTTCTATAGACGCCATAACCAAAATCAATAGTTCTTTGCGTTCTTTAATGCAAGTAGGAAAATATGGAAGCCTTGCAATTAACGGATACTATATGTATGTTACAGAACATATTTGACAGCTGTCAATCACACTCAAGTGTCAAGACTGCCAATGCAAATAAGGCGTACTCAAAATAAATTAGCCTCAAGTTAAGGGACGTTTATGAATTCGGCCATTAAGGCGTGCGCTGTCAAATGCTTTCGGCAAATTGCGGTATCATTTATATGGTTTGCGCTAAAAGTCACCCTTAATGTTGTTTTTGTGATATTGTTGTGGTTTTTCTTTGTTTGGTTTGTTGCTAAGCATTTTGGTATATGATGTGAAATGGATTTCAAGCACTGCACTAACGGTTTTATTTGTGCTTGACTTGGCTAATAAATCACCGTCAAGTTGTTTTTGTTTGCTTACTAATTTTTGTGTCTCAAATGGTTTTAATAAATTGTGCTATCGTTTCGTTTTTGATGATAAACATTCAGTGTGTGCGTTTTTGGTTTGTTGACACTCACTTTAGGCTGTGTGAAGTCGAATGATTTTAACGCATTGCACTAACTTTTTTGTTTCTGCAAGGTTTGCGTTAAAAATTACAAGAACTTGTTTTAGTGATAACCAACATCTGAGAATCAGTGTTTTTTACTTTTATTTTTGTGGTGATATTGAAAGGATCAAGGTCCCGGCGGAGAGCAGTCACGAAAGGTGTAATAACTTTACGAAAAAAAAAAATTATTCTCAAAACTGTGATCATATATATATGAAGTTGAGTCATTAATTTTTAGATAATGATTGTAGAGGGAAGATAAACCAAAATATGTGTGTGAAGATTAAAAAATAATTAAAAAAAATGTTACCTTGTTTTATAAAGTATCCTCCCGACAAGTATTTCAGTGCGGACCTGTATTTGATCGTGCGGTCTTGGAGCACCGGCATGCTCTCCACTGTGAGGTCTTAAGTCACCTGATTCACGAGCCCTTTGTACTACATTAAGAAAGGCACGAGGGGTTGGTTGCACTCGATTGGGAAACCGATCCGCATAAACCCGTGATGCCGCGGCAGCATTTTGTAAAGACTCCCCCCCGTAAATAAGAATCATGTCCACAAGTTCAGCATTTTCGTAAACATGTGCCATTTCTTATTTCGTTTGAGCCACGCAACAAACACCACTATTCACTCACGCGTTACCGACTGACACATTGACTGAATACAACTGAATACAATTGTAGTAAAAACATCGTTTCAAATTCTTTCGCTTTTTTGTTTCCGATGCGATGAACCGATAAGGCGGATTATTTCCGTAGATGCCAAACACAAGCACATAATATTATTATTGAGACAGGGCGGTACTCAAACTTCTAAAGGGCTATAACTTTGTTACTTTAATTTTACCAGAAAAATGTTAAAGGAGAAAAACATTTCTTTTGATCAGATCTACTCACTGTTAAAATAAATGACTCAACTTCGAAGTCACCCTGTATATATATATATATATATATAATTAAAGCTTCCGCCTTTTGTTGGGTACTTCGACAAGATTTAAGCAAAGAGGACTCTTTATACTTTTTTTTAATTCTCTCTAGCTTTCAATGGACTTTGCCATCATCATCAGGAGCTGCAATTACAATGATAACAGTAGCAACAAAGGTGTAAAATGAATTTAAATTGACTCAACTTACAGTAGTATGTGAGGATGTTGCTAATTGTTGTTTACGTATAGGATGAGGGGAACGTCCAGTAACATGGTGAGAGCTGGATAGATTGTACAATGGTCAAAATTATATAAAATATGACAAGAACAAGTTAAAAACAGATTAAAAATTATTTAAAAAACATTAGAGCATTACATCGTGAAGCCACTTGATGATTGCACAAATTAGTGGTCATGGAATAATGAGTGACATGAAACCCTTTGACAGAAGGCCGAAGGATGTCAATGTCAGTGTTGAAAGATGGAACGAATTGTGGGCGTGTGCCAAACGTTGCCAAATCACTTCAGATGATGAGATTTTCAGAATTTTATGTTAGAATTTGTTAAACCGACCAGAGGCAGTTGAATAAACTATATTATTATCAATGGGAATTTAAATTAACAATTATTAATAAATCGTGAGGAGAGAATTATTATATTTTGAGTGGAATGAAATTTACTGGTGGAATCGGCCAAAACACAGATTCTAATTATGGTTGTGAAGAGTTGAAATTTGGGGAGATATGTAAGTTCTCCAATTTTTCGCAGTTTAGCAAATATGAGTAAATGACACTCAGTTGTTTAACATCTGTCTTTTTGTTGATACAGATGTTATTCATGAAAATGTGGGACATTTCCAGGAATAAACGTTTGGAAAGGTGTTTTTCTTTATCAAGAACTTTGATACTTGTGTAATTCATAGAATGCCCTGTTGTGTTAACATGAGATGCTAGAGCGCATCTTTCAGGATGAAGCCTAGCATCACTTTTGTGTGATGTAATCCTTCCTTTAAGAGATCTGGAGGTCTGACCTATGTATATTTGGTTGCAGTTGTTGCAATTGATGGAGTAGACTGTGTTGGTTAAGCCAAGCAGCGGGACTTTGTCTTTCATTTTTGAAAAAATGCAGTTTATAGTGAGGACGGATTTGCAAGCAATTCGAAAGTTCAAAGGACTGCACAATCTGATCAGCTTAGGGGTCAGTTCCTTGATGTAGGGCAGGATGATGGAAAAGTCCATTGAAAGCTAGAGAGAATTAAAAAAAAGTATAAAGAGTCCTCTTTGCTTAAATCTTGTCGAAGTACCCAACAAAAGGCGGAAGCTTTAATTTTTCACCTAACTGGTCTAGACGACAATGACCACGTCTCAAGTTATATATATATATATATATATGCGAATTTCATACAGTGGGTCAAAAAATTATTGGCACACCCTATTTTTTTCTTCAACCTCAATAACGAAAAGATGAATTTTTTTAAATTAATTTATTTGAAAACTAATATCCAGATAGTCGTTTTTTATGGCAATAGATCGAGCAAATCAAAAATAATCTAAGAATAATAATAGGAATTATAAAATTCAAGGCTCAAAAAAATATTGGCTCACGAAAAAACAAAGAATCAAATAAGTGTAAACAAAATTTATTTGCAGTTAGTACTTTATCAAACCATTTACATCGATATTGGTGCATCATGGCACGAAGAAAAGTTTTTTCTGGTCCAATTTGGACCCTTTCTTGTATACGAACATCTTGTAGCTGCCGTTTGGCAGATATTTTACTTTGTGCGGCCCTTGAGGTCCAGAAAGTATCACAAATGTTGGATTGGTATCCGGAGATTGCGATGGAGTATTGAGTTATGCAGAAACATTGCAAACATTTACCTTTCAGGAGGATAATGATAAGCAGATAGCCACTAAAACTATGGAGTTTTTCCTTTACAATGCTTCTACACAACTCAAAACCACCACAATCCTCGGATATCAATCCCATTAAACATTTGTGGTACTTGCTGGACCTGAAGGCCCGAAAAAATAAAATTTCTGCGAAACGACAAGTACATGTTGTTTCTATGCAAAAATGGGACCAAATCAGAGAAACAACTCAGAAATTCTATGGCACGATGGATTCAGGGCATACTATGATAACAAAGTACGTACTGACTGTAGATACATTTTGTTAAAACTTATTCACTTGTTCGTTTTTAGTGTGACAATACTTTTTTCACCTTTGAATTTCATAATTCATACTATGATTCTAATATTTCTAATTTGCTCAATCGATTGCCATAAAAAATTACTATTTGGTTGTTAGTTTTCAAATAAATGTAACAAAAATTTCATCTTTCCGTTATTGAGATTCAAGAAAAATGTATATGCGATCAACTTTGAATCTGAGTAAATTTCAGCACAGAAAGCTCTGCTTATGGACCCTTATTCTTTATTTTAACTCGAACCAAACCACAGATCGGGTAGTTATAAATGTATTGTACAACACACAACGTAAGTTATAACCGGTTCTACATTCTCTATTCTTTTTCCTATTCCAAAGTAAGATACGGCATGTATCAAATTAAGTATACATGAATTCACCTTTAGATATGCGTGTTGCAGTTTGAGCTTTTTTCTATTCTTCTTTTTCGCTTTGCTGAGTTTGGACATTGGCTAACATATTCCATCAGAAGGCACCCAATGCAACTGATAGCCTAAGCTATTATGCTTACAACTATACAGGGTGTCCCAGAAAGAACTGCATTGATCGATTACTCGAAAAGTTGATGCTAAACAATTTTAAAAATTTGGAGTTATTGAATGCGGCTGAAGTTCCGATCGATCACGTTTTGATCGGAGCGATAAAAAAGGCAGCAGTGCCGAAAATTTGTCATTACTACTTCTACCGACATAATTGTCCAAATAGACATATATCGTTGCGGTTTTCACGTAGTTCCATTGTTTTAATGATTTTCTATGTAATGTAAAGATTTTAGCCTCCTCCTCCGGAAACTTCCCCAAAGTGAGGAGTAACGCGAAAAAATTGATATTACATGAAAATAAACCCGGAGAAATGCGGTTTTCGTTTTAATTGATTAGATAAAGTATATTTTACTTACGCTAGGTACAAATCCCTGCTACATCGTTCACAGACACCCCAAGTTGACCCCCCGTTGAAACTCAAGCTATATAATCATAGTTTTTCAAAAAAAGCTGTGTACACTTCTCTCAATCACACAATATCAGCCGATTTTGACCCCTCTTTGTTTATACATAATTTGAAAAAAAATCTATTATTCGTTAAAATGGCCAAAGACCAAAAAGGTTTTTTCTGACATCAATATAACCTGTTATATCACACCCTAGCAGACGTTTTCCCAAAGCAAGTCCAATTTGAGTTCCCTTTGTTAATATGTAGCAAATTTAAAAAATCTATTTATTATTCGTCAAAATGTTATGGGATTTCCTTTTCCATCGTTGATAAATTCTGAGATTCCGAAATCATAGGAATGATCGGAGACCAGGTTGAGGGTGATATGTAATGTTTAAGAATATGCAATTTTCATTAAAAGGAAAATAGATTCTGTTTTTATTACTGTGACCGTGCTTGGAAAAATGAGAATACGTTAGTGAATGCCTTTACTTACTCGTATACATGTTGTGTTTTGAATGTCTTTTTCTATGATACTTTTGCTTTTGTCGTTTGGGTAGCTTGGTTGTGGCTTTACTATCAACATGTTATCCTCCTATATGGGCTTTAGCACACTGCTTTCATTTATGCATGTAGTCTTTTCGGCTTATGATTGTTCTTATGAATTCAGTATTCGTCTTTTATGTTGTAGGTTCCTAAGCAGGTACCACCAGAACATCATAATGTAAGCTTGGACAGCACCATGTCATTTTTCTACTATTATGTACTTACGCCTGGATCACTCTTCAAACCGGATGAAGGAATTAATGAAGGGTGATGAAAAATAATATAGACTGAAAACCAAATTCCTCTGACGTCGTAATGTGTAAGATAGAGAAGCGCGAGAAGGGCTTATACGTGTGTTAGAAAGAGACAGAAGCATTTGGTTACCTAGCAACCCGAGTACGAGGTCTCGGACGCCATCGGCGCACTCTTTCTAATATACAAAGGGTACTATAAAAGTTTTCCAATATAGCTTTATTTATTGACTTTGTTCAAAGTAATTTCCACCACGTTCTCTCCATCCGTCAAAACCAGCTCTGCCAAGTTTCACCAGGGAGTGCGGCACACTCGTTGTCCCAAAGCCCTCAGCAGGTCCTCATCGCTAGAAAACCGTTTTACTTTCAGCTTCATTTTCACATGTGGACACAGTGCAGTCGCAGGGAGCAAGATCTGGACTATAAGGAGGGTGCTCAATAATTTTCAGCCCAGTAGTGGTCAAATATCGGTGCAGGCTTTGGCGCGGTGAGCTGGAGCGTTGTCATGGTGGAGGTACCAAGTGTCCATTCTTGTCTTTGGCTGCAGGTTTTTCATAGGCAGGCACTGTTCCGTGTACCACTTAGCTGTGACTGTCTTCTGTGTGTCCAAGACGACACGCTCATCCCTCTCGAATTGAAAAATACAGCTATCATTTTTTCTCAACAGATCGGGATTTTCTGACAGCTGCGAGTGTGTCAACATCATCAAAGACCCAAACTTTGTTTTGAGCCTTGGTCAGCACATCGTAATAATAGAGCCAAGTTCAATCAGGCTATGCGGTACCCTGAGAGAGCAAAGTTTCCTTACGTGTAAATGTTCATGCAGAATTGAATGAATTGCTGGTGCATGGTGTAAGGTCTCCTCTATCTGTTGGTATGTCACTCCCCGGTCTTCGTCAAGCATTCCAATAAACTCTTGATGGCACAGTGCAACAACATACTCAAACAGCCAAGATACTGGGTGTTGAATTTGATAGCAAGTTAAGATTCCGCAGCCATACAGCTAATTTAATGAAAAAAACATATCTTTGCTCTAGAGCCCTTTATTCTGTTCGATGCTTGCTCAACTTCAAGTTAAGAAAAAAGTTCTGTGAATCATTGGTGATGTCAATACTCAACTACTGTGGACAATCATTCTTTAATGGAAGCGTCATTTCTTCTAAGCACTGATCTATGCTTAAACCACGCCTAAAGTTATACCGTAAAACTGCCATTATCTCTCTACGTGACCACGATGCCATACTCCGCACTTTTATAGCACCCTTTGTACACACTGTACGCTTATCTCTTGTGCATATTACGACGTCAGCCAAATTTGAACCTCACTGTATGCAAGAGCTTTTTTTAACCCTAAAGAGGACATTTGGTTGTATCCTTGTAGTAGTGTAGCATATTTGTTAATAAACCGCTTTTTAGTGTATTAATATGAAATGATATAAAATACTTTTGTTTTTTTCTATATCCTGCCCCCTACGGAAAATTATAAATAAGGGAAAAAGATATTTGAGGTGTTTTCCTTTTTTTGTTTAACGAAGACATAGACTCAAAAATTCAGAAAGTGGTATTGGTGGCGCAATCTAGCGATAATAGCGAAATTCACGTTATTAATTTCGTTTCTCAACGGGTATAAATAATTTCAGTGGACTATCAGAGTCGGCGCTATTTGGGGTTTGAAATAGGATTTTTTGATTTATAGTTTAACAAATTGCTGCGCTTACCGCCACTGGGCCCATGGACACTTGTATGTTCCTCATACTTTGAAAGGTTAGAGTCTCGTAGCGCTGTAGCTATATGCTCATATATCGGGTGTTTTAAACTCGACCCTCACCATTGCAGGGATGATGGCGACTCACTTTTTCTCACTTAGTTCGATCCCTCTCACTTTTCATTGAAAACATTCACTTTTGTCACTATTTTCGCTCTCGCTGTACATTTGGTAGTTTATGAATGTTTTCGAAGATGACCTCATTCTCTCAAGCCCCACGAAATTAAACGAGGTGAATTTTTTTCATAAAAAACAAACAATATGGTAATTCATGTGCAGGGTTCTCTCCAAGCCGGGTCAATATGTATTACATGAGAAATTACTAGGATTAGTTGAAATCCACGTTGAAATTCAATTCAGCTTTGCTAAAAGCGCTCTATATATACACCTTAGGAAAAACCATTGTTATGCATGGGAAATCATTTCTTGGCAACAGCGCATCGGCTCGTCTACTTTCATCGCTATTCGTACATATTTCCTACCGTTAACCGCAGACCTGTATCACGAATGAGAATAATAGGCAGATACGCTGTGTTGCCAATTTGAGTAGAGCTTCCCGAATTGTGGGGAATTTAGAGTTAAGTGTTGATTCATTCAAGCTTTTAATCAGCATGGCCTAGACGCTGGAACTTCATAAAGATAACATTGAAGCTGAATGCTGCTGGAGTATAGTGTTTCGAATATTCAAAGCGGAGCGGGACACTATACTCGTTCAATGGGTCATCAAGCCACAGTATTTTCAACAAAGAAATTATTTTACGAAAATGCGTTATATTTTTACGATTTTGTCGTCGCCAAATCTCTGTTTCTCAAAATGTACGTCTATTGTAGAATTTTCAGCAAACTAAGCAAGAAACGTGATCTAGTATTTACTCAACATTACGGATTTCTCGAAATACATTAAAAAATTTGACCTAGATACCTAACTGCCCCAAGCTCTTTAAATATAACACCTTAAACCAGGGTTACCAGGTGCTCAGTCACGTTGATTGTCATGTTGTACTGCGCAAGTCAGCAAACAATCTGGCGTAATAAACGTTAGGAATCATCAGGTATTGCCAGATTCCCGAATACCGGGCACCATAGTATCCGTTATAGTTGTCCTTCAAAGTTGTCAAATCGCCCCTATGGCGCTAATTCGCCACACCAGGCAACTGTGCTATAAACAAACCCTGTTTATCACTTCTATTTGATAGTCATATGGTAGTTTTAGCCCTATCTAGCGGTCCATGATTTCTCTCAATACTGTTGTATCTCTACTGGCAACAAGAATAGGGATTACAAAATCATTTATACAACAATATACAAACATGAAAAATATGATTTCATGATGAACCATGAAACATTAATACAATTTTAATAGTTTGAACTTTCTTCATTTCTGGAATACTCTTATGTGGAATCCGCAGCTATTTTTCCCGAAATTTGGGTAGACTTAGATTTCTTAGAAATATGACATATTGGTATCGGCAACTCTGCGAATGGGAGAAAAAAATCGCATTTGTAGAGCGCATCCGTCTAAGCGGTAGGCGCCAGCGCCCGTTCTGCCATCTCTCTCTTTTACCACTCTTCTACTTTACCCCGTTGTCCGTCACGCTCCGACGCTGCCAGATAAGATCCTACAATCGAGTGTCTTTCACGCACCTACATACTTTTGTATATTTCCATCTCGCTTCCTCATCATAATGTATAATAATGGTTTTTCCCATACTGTATGCACTAGGGATTTCAAATTTGGTCACGATAAGCAATACAAAATCGCTTATGAAGGCAAAGTTGCACATTTATTTAATTAATAAAATGTTACTTAGATAGTTTGGGAATTCGGAGTATTTTTAGAGAGACAGAAAATACGAATTTATCCTGACGCGTTTTCATTTTCTTCTGGCTCAATTTGAGCTGGGATTTCAATATAAATTGCACTAACAGTGGCACCTTTTACAAGCTTTGTACAGGTACACACAAAAAGAGTGCTATGAAATTATATTGATTCGAGATCACAGATACTTCAAATGCGGTAATTTCGTTGTTTTAAAGAAACGTAGCACTTACAATTGAGAAATTGACATCAATTCAAAGATGTATGTCTTAAAAATATACCGAATTCACGGTCTACAATTGAAGATAGTTGTTCTTGAATCAAGATCAATCTTTTTTGTGTGTAACTGTTAGTATGCCTGTGTAGGACAAATCTTGAAACTGAATTTCGGTTTCAGCTGATATACTAGCTTTGGTCGAACAATAGAGTCAGGCTTTGACTACAAAATAGCTGACACCATTTTGAACATCTGCTATGATATACATCTGCTTATTTATGATTATTATTGTTATTACCATTAATGAAAATTTCATGTTGTGTTTAGCTTTCACCATACCTCTTACTCCTTATAATTTTCGTTACGATGGCCACCAAATACATTGAACTTAGTACTGAAAAAACAAAATTCCAATATAGCGTCCATATGAAAAACAAACTTGGTGATGGAAGTCGAAAGAAGAAACCTCGAATTGTAGAAGATAATAAGTGGCGATTTCAACATGTAATTTACTTTTGAAACCCATCTCAAATAAAGTTAAGAAAAAATAAAAATGATTTTAGAATAAATCTAGTAAGCAAAACAAATGACTGTCGGATAATTTGAAGGCCTACTTAGACAATTATGTTTTTTGAAATAACTACGGTTGGGCAATGCGAATGTATGACATTATACATTTTTGGAATCAGAATTAAAAACTCTATTCATCCACGCAAAAATCCAATAAATAAAAAAAAAGAAAAAATGCTGAAGGAGAAAAAGTGGCAATGTTAATGTGCAATTTATTTATAAATCTCACCACAGATAGTCGCGAAAAAATTAAAATGATTTTGAAAAAATAAATTCCGTTTTTTGTGTTTCTCTACGGAAGTACTTTGGATTTCAAAACTTTCTAAGCGGCAACAAAACAAAATAGGCAACTTTGCCCCCATTTAAGTGACTTCGTATCTCTTACCGTATCCGAGATCCCAATCGTGAGGGTCGAATTTGAAATAACCTGTATATTCGTGTGAACCATAAGTAAATCAATGATCATGACGTTTCCTACTCATTTAAAGATTTTTTTGAAATATGTACGGTTATTTCCAACAAAGAAATTACGCCTAGAGATCCGAATAGTGAGGGTCGAACTTGAAACACCTGGTATAGTTGGCTAAGGTATCTAATTTCGGAATTAATGCTTTCATAAAAGTGTTCCCTGTCATCACCGGACAGGAGTACAAAACAACGTTGTAACTTGAATTGTTAATTTTTTTGTCACCGCGTGATATCCCTTGTTATTTGTTAAAACAATCATCTGCACCTACATTTGAAAGGAGTGATCAATATACTTTAAGATATGCTTCCATTTTGTTCTGATTATCAAATGCGTGAAAGAAATCAAGACCGCTTATACAGTGATGCTGGCGACTCACTTTTTCGATCCACCTCACTTTTAC